GAAGTCACAGTGTCAGGAGCTTGAGAGAATAAATGTCAAGAGCAGAGAGAATAAATGCATGGATCCTTACTTGCTTCCTCGCTCTCAGCCAGCTTTCATTTGCTTATACTGTCCAAGATCCCCTGTCTAGGATATGGTACTGCCACACTGAGCTGAATTGTCCTGCTTCAATGTAAGCAAAACAGTCACCCACAGACATGCCCACAGGCCAACCCAACATAGACAATCCCTCACTGAAACTCTTTTCCCATTTGATTCTAGGTTATGTCATGTTGACAATTAAAGCTGACCATCATGAGATGTTTGACACTGCTAATCACCACATTAATATAAACCAATACTACAGCAAGAGACCACATCATACCCAGTAGGATAAGTACTACCACAAATGGGAGAAAGCAGTTAGAAGCAACTTGAATTTCCAATGAAAGATAAATGAATATGGTGTGTACATACAGTAAAGTTTGACCCAAACTTTCAAAACGAAAGGACTTTCTGACACATCTTATGGCACATATGAACCTTAAAGGCCTTACACTAGGTTAAATAAGGGAGATACCCAAAAGATGAATACTATGATATTCCATTTGGATAAATTCTCTAAATAAGTAAATTCATAAACTCCAAAAGTTAAAATATGGTTATAAGGGCAACTTAGAACGGGAAAGGAGAATTTTTCAGTAGACAGTTTCAGAATCCAGGATAAAAAGCTCTGGCAGGATTTGATCAAAACACCTTATATGCATGTATGAAATTCTCAATAAAGTTTTTTTAAAAGTTAAAAAAGTACTGACTAAATAAAAGAATGAATCAATAAAAAAACATAACAGAAAAACAAACAAACAAACAAACAAACAAAAAAGCTCTGGCAACTTGCTTCATAAAAATGTGACCATGCTTTAGATTACTTAATAGATCACTTAGAAATACTAAGATGAAAACGTTTAAGTTACGTGTTTTTTGTTTCACCATACAAATGGAAAGTTAAACCTGGCGTATCCCCTCACTGACTGGAAATATCACATTTGCCATGCATAAAATATGTCCATGCATGGAATTTTATTTTGGATTTTCTATTTTATGGATGCAAAAATAACAAAGTGTTGTAACTTACAGACCTCTGATTTCAGTGTAGCACGTTATGATCCTTGTGACCTCAGTCATCTGACTGCCTTAAGGATATTTGCTGCTTTTCATTTGGCCCATTTCTTGGAACAATATGAAAGGGACAATGCTGAAGCTGTTGATATATCAGAGCTTTCTTTGAGTATTGAAACCACCTTTTTGGAAGGAAGTGAATTTGTGATTAGTTATAATAGTTGAAATCACACCAGAGTTGAAGGATAGGACAGTAACTCACCAAATTTCCTGTACCATATTTGTAACACAAGACACTACTATTTCTGTGTCACAGTTTGGAATCGATATTGATATTTTTCATCTGCAGTTTTGGTCACTCGGCTAGCAAATCTTGGCTGTTTTCCAACTGACAAAAACAATTTCACACAGTCTCCAGATGGAAGAACATTATTTTGAATAATTATTTAATGAAAGTGAAAAGTTTAAAGCAAAATGAGGAAGCTCTAAAATATGTGGGTTAAAACTACATTTCACAAAACAATGCACATTTCACAAGATCACAAATGGGACTGAAGATACAAAATCCTTTAGACACACATTCCTCAGAGGAGAATCGCAATGCGAATAAAAGAGGATTGAGGAGTAACTAAAAGAAAGGCCCTTGCAAAGATCACAGATGGCACTGCAACAAGTTAAGGATTGGCTTTAATTCAGTCCTCAAGCCATGGAACTCAAGAAAGCAGGCAACAGAAAAATGTTGACCTTTTGTGTTTGTTTTGAGAAATGTCTGTTCAGTTGATTGACCCATTTATTGATTGTCAGTTTTGAAAATGAGATGTTTTGATTAACAGGAATATCACAAAGGACAATAGATGCATTTGTATATCAAATGCCCTTAAAAAGGCTAACCCAGGGATGGGGAGATGGCTCAGTGGGTGAAGCACTTGCTGCGCAAGCAAGAGGACATGAGTTCAGATCCCTGCTACAGATGTAAAAACTGGACACCACAACAAGCATCTGTAACCCCAGTGCTGGGAAGCAGGGACAGGTGTATCCTGGGGGCTTGTTGGTCAGCTAGCCAGGACAAAATGGTAAGCTCTAGGTTCAGTGAGAAAATCTCTCTCAAAAAGTAAGGTGGAGAGTGATAGAAGACACTCAGTTGTTCTATGTCCTACATACACATACAGGCCAGCACATCTGCACACATAGATATAACACACACACACACACACACACACACACACACACTCACATGCTAACTCCAAGTCACACACTGCCAGTATAGGGATTGCAAAAATGTTGTTGAAAGAGAAAAGGATTTGGAGATAGGAGATAGTTCTGACTTTGGTGGAATTTCTTTTTAAGGCATTAATATGAATCAGACATTACACATCTTAGAGTTACTCTACATAATCACCAG